GGGGCGGGGCGGGGCGTCGAGCGCGGCGCGGAGACTGTTACCGCGGTTACCTCATCCAAGCGTCGTCCCGAGCCGAGTCGAGCCGAGCCGAGCGGCTGCATGGCGTGGCGTTGAGCCGTGCCAGCCGTTTGGGCCGCGCCGAGCCGCTCCGGGTCCAGTGGAAGTAAGGCGGCGCGGCCCGGCCCGGGGCCCGGCCCGGCTCCGGCTGCCCGCATTGGGTCTCTAGGTCAGCGCCGTTTGTTGATCCCAGGGGACTCCTTCCACATGGTGTGCTGCTCTAGTCGCGTGCGATGCAGACGTCCTGGCCATCGTGCATACCACCAGGTGAGGTGGCTGGGTTTGCCCCACAGCACCATACCGCCCGTGGCGATGCTGTACCGCATCGCTACCGTGCGGGCGGGTTGCCTAATCACTCGGCCCGTAAGGCGCCACGGTGAGGGGCGATAGGCAACCCGGCCTCACGGGAGCACGCTGTGCGGCGCGGCAGTTCACGGGGTGGATGGACACCTGGTATTTGTCTGTGGACTTTAACTACCTGATCCCGCTCATCGGAGTAGTTTGCAGTCACAGTGTATCGTTATGGGTGGGTTGCCCACTCGTTCAGGGGCCATAGGAGGATGGCAGATGGTCCACGACGACGCCTGCATGCAGTACAGAACAAACCGTACAAACTTTGTGGATCACTCTTACTCACATAGGAGACGACTAGTTTTCTGTCACTCCGCACCGAACACCTTTCGTTTTTGTCCAGTTATCGCACAATTCGCGCTCTCCAACCAGAATCTCGCACTTCTCCTGAGGCGCCAGGTCACTTTGCAGGCAAATGTTTTCTTGGCGCCCGGAAATACTGCATTGCATTCTCGCCGAGCCCGTGTGTCCCGATAGCATTTTTTTCCACTCCCTTGCCCCCCCCCCCCCCGGCTCGACGCCACGACGACGATCGGCACGTCGCGCTAACAGAGCGCCGTGCGTGTAGCTTTGGCTCACGGCCGTCCCGGTCCCTCTCGTCGTGCTCGTTTTGACGAAAACTTGATACGAAAATTTCCAGTCATTAGCCGAAAAGCGACGACGCCGGGGGACCCACGTGACCTACATTGCCGAGGCGTTTTTGCGTACAAAATGTTCCTGCTGGTGTGAGCGGCGCAGCGCAGTCTGCAGGACAAGGGATCAACAGGTCTGCGCCGAGCACCTCGGGAGGCGGAGGCGGAGGCTCTGCGCTCTGCCATTAGCATGCCGACGGGCCTTCTCTATCGAATCTCCAGTCGTCGACATCGCCTCAGCCTGCTGTATTGGGCATCATAGGAAGCCGAGGCGACGTACACACAGCCCGCGACGTAAAGGTGCAGGGG